ATTATTCATCTCACCCATCCTTATGTCTCCCATTAAGAAATGGGCCTAGATTAGGATTAAATTTTACAATATTTCTTAATCATTCTAATTGGTATCTTTAACCATTGTCCAGTGATCTTAAGTAGCTTCTGTACCTATTTCCATCCCACTTTTTGTAGAAGGTGTGTCAACTGTTTATGGGGTGGTTCAGCCCAGCTCTGCGACAAGTGCGGTGGGGGAACTCACGGACGCATGCCCTGGAAAGAGAAAACAGCAAAAACAATCTGAAGAGAAAAAAACTAATTTACTAAATACGATACTGGAATGCAAGGTAACACACTCTAATACAACATAATACAATATAATTAGAATTGAAGCTAATAAATCAATTTAAATGAGAGAGAGTGTCTAAAAACAGAAGATCTTACCCTAACGCTGAGGCAAAATGTGCAGTCAGGATGAGAAGAAGGGGAGAGAGCCAGGTCTTATGACTTTGCCAGGTGTTTTATCTCCTCTATCAACACAAAGTCCTCTGGTGCATATAGTTCTTTTCATCTGGATCAGGTGCCTGGAACTGGAGTATTAACACTTTAACTCCCAGTGCACTACATGATGTTATGATGTGGAATATCAATTACAAAAGTCATAAAATCATGACATTCCACCCCTTATTCAACATCACTACATCATGCATAGTATACATAAATAAACAATAATTGACAAGCACTAAACACACACACAAATATATATACGTGGAATTACTAACTGCACTCCCCCAACATTAAATTCCCTTGTAGTACACATTGAACATCCTCACTTTTCTGCATTGCTCACCAAGTAAACCCAGGTCCCTGAGCAAAAACTGTTCCATGGAGAGGTTTGCGCTTTTCAGAAGCTGGAAAGACCCAATCTGCTTTTCCCACCATGTTCTTTACATGTACTACTGGGACCTCATCTCCCTTGACAGTATGTAGGGAGATGGCAGAACCATGGCAATTGATAGATCCTCAAGTCTTGACCAACAAGATGGCTTCTACCAAATACTTCTCCCAGTGCTTAAATGTTCCACCACCCATTGCTTTAAAAATGTTTTTTAACAACCCACTCTATCCTTCAATTCTACCAGAAGATGATAAGGGATATGATAAATCCACTCAATGCCATGATCCTTGGCCCAAGTATTTACAAAACACTTTTTGAAATGAGTCCCATTATCTGATTCAATTCTTTCTGGAGTATCATGTTGCCACAGGACTTGTTTCTCAAAACCTTATATGTTGTTTTGGGCAGTAGCACGGGGTACTGTATATGTTTCAAGCCACCCACTGTTGCCTCCACCATGGTAAGCACACCACGCAAGATTGTGGCAAGGTGATATAATCAACCTGACACACCTCCCCATATTTATACTTCTGCTATCGCCCTTTCCCCCTAAAAGGTTTCATCCTTTTGGTTTGTTTAATTATGGCATGTGTCACAGTCATGAATAACCTGTGCAATAGCATCCGTAGTTAAGTCCACCCCTCGGTCACTAGCCCACTTATATGTTGCATCTCCTCCTTGATGGTCTGAGGTCTCATGGGCCCACCAAGCTAGAAATAATTCACTCTTGTGTTGCCAGTCCAAGTCTATTTGAGTCACCTTAATTTTGGCAGCTTGATCTATCTGGTGGCTATTTTGTTGTTTTTTAGTAGCCCAACTCTTGGGCACATGAGCATCTACATGACACACCTTTACCTTAATCCTTTATCATATCCTTTATTCGAGCAGCAGTGTGTTTCCTCAGGTCAGCAGCCCAAATAGGTTTACCCTTCCATTGCCAGTTGTTTTGCTCTAATTGCTGTAACCACTCCCATAAGGCATTTGCCACCATCCATGAGTCAGTGCAAAGTTAAAGCACTGGGTACCTTTCCCATCCAGCAACATCTAGGGCCAGTTGGACAGCCTTTACTTCTGCAAACTGACTCAATTTTCCTTTTCCTTCCGTGGCATCTGCAACTGCTCCTGTGAGGCTCCACATATCAGCTTTACATCTCTGATGTTTCCCCTCAGTACTACATGATCTATCTGTGAACAGGGCAAATTTCATTTTCTGGTAGTTCACTGTATGGTGGGGCTTCTTTAGCTCACAGTATTTCTTCTGCTTGTGATGTTCTAAACTTTTTACCTTCAGGCCAGTCCTTGAATATCTCTAGGATTTCTGGACGTCTGAGATTCCCTATCCAAGCTCGTTGTGTAATCAACGCAATCCACTTATTGTAAGTGACATCAGCAGCATGATGGGTGTAGGGAACCTCTCCCTTGAACATCCAGTTTAGCACCAGCAGCTGATGTGCCAGAAGGAGCTGTGGTTCAGTACCAATCACTTCAGAAGCAGCCCAAACACCCTCATATGTGGCTAAGATCTCCTTTTCAGTTGGAGTGTAGCACTCTTCAGACCCCCTGTATGCTCTCCTTCAGAATCCCAGGGGTCGGCCTCGGGTCTCTCCTGAGGCTCTTTGCCACAAACTCCAAGTGGGACCTTTCTCTCCAGCAGCAGTGTAGAGGATATTCTTTACATCCTGTCCAGTCCATACTGACCTCAGGGCCATGGCACAGGCTATCTCCTGTTTAATCTGTTAAAAAACCTGCTGCTGCTCAGGACCCCGTTCAAAATAATACTTCTTCTGTGTCATTTGATAGAGGGGGCTTACAACGAGGCTACAATGAGGCAATGAGTTTGAAACATGCATTCTCTAAAAGCCCACTTCACCCAGAAAAGATTCTCTTATTAGTGGGTGGAGACATGGCAGTGATTTTGCTGATCCCATCTGTTGGAATGTGACCACATCCATCTTGCCACTTTATACCTAGGAACTGAATTTTGTGGGCTGGTCCTTTCACTTTGCTTCACTTATTAGCAAAACCAGCACGCAGAAGAATTTGGATTATTCATTCTCTTTTCTTGAAAACTTCTGCTCTGTCACTCCCCACAGCAATATCATCAACGTGCTGCAGATGCTCAAGAGCACCGCCCTGTTCCAGTGCAGTTTGGATCAACCTGTGACAAATGGTTGGATTGTGTTTCCACCTGTGGGGCAAATGGTTCCTCCAAGTGAAAGTAAACTGTAGCCTACATTCTGTGGCCAAAGGAACGGAAAGGCATGAGCAATGTCAATGGTGGCATACCACTTGGCTGCTTTTGACTGCAGTTCATATTGGAGTTCTAACATGTCTGGCACAGCAGCACTCAATGGAGGTGTGACTTCATTCAGGCCACAGTAATCTTCTATCAGCCTCTGTTTTCCATTGGCTTTACACACTGGCCATATGGGGCTGTTAAAAGGTGAGTGAGTTTCACTGATCACTCCGACTTTCTAGCTGATGAATCAAATTATGAACGGGAAGCAAGCAATCCCTGTTAGTGCAATAATGCTGTCTGTGCTCCATTTTTGTGACAATTGGCACCTGTTGCTCTTCCACTTACAGCAACCCCACAACAGACAGATCTTCTGATAGACCAGGGTATCTGAAGCTCATAATGCAGCCATCCTTGCTTTGCTCCATCACGGTGGTTGCTCTTCACACTGCATGGCCTGGCCCAGTCCCAGGCACAACCATCACTGAGCACCAACTGAACATTGGTGCACGATTAGCTCCATCTGGGCTGAAACTGGCACACAAGGAGGGCACAGTGCAGTGCCATCTCAATCTGCGGCAAATATTTGTATGCATTGTGATATCTGGGCTAAACACAGTCCTGCGAGCAGTGAAAATATGCAGCTGTGCTTTCTCTTTTGATAAAGGAATTTGAAACTAAGTTTCAAAATAGCCAAAAAAATCATCTTTTTTTTTTATTTGGAACCCTATTTTCAGTTAATATAAAAACGTCACCTGCAAATTTTTTAATGGAGTGTATGGAGGTGCAATCCAAAATGTGATCAAGTCTCTTTATCAGACTTCCTTAAGACCTCTCTTACCACAGAGAAATACCCCTCACTCCACCATCACACCTGATTCCTGTCATCACTTTTGGCAGTTCGCACATTTGTAAGCAACTACAATCAAAGACGAAGTACAGGAAGAGTAAAATTTCATCAAAAGTCTCTGATGAGCAACTTGAGAGCTCACTAAGGATTGCAGCCTCTGCCACTGAACTACAATGATGTATCAGTTCTACAAAAGCAAGGTCACATATTCAACTGTTTTTATGTTTTTGTTGCCCTCTTTTTTAATGTTTTAATTAAAAAAAAACACATTAAGTTCTGTTGCATGCAGCGGAAAGGACAGTGGGTCACCTCCCCTGGTGCAGACTATTATGTATGCTGCATGCAGACTCTTATTGTTCATGGCTGGCAAAAATGCATAGCTAATAGTGACTGTGTTGAAAAAGAGTGTAGATGGAAATTTGCTCTACTAATGCTATTATGCTTTCTGTATTGGTCATAGTTTCCACTTTAATAAGTAAGAGGCATTACTTTCAGATGAATTTTTGTAGATGCAGTCCTAGACAACGAGTCTTCACTCAATGCAGCACAGGCAAGCCAAAAGGTACGGCATTTCTTCATTTGTTTAAGTTCTAGTTGAACACATGTCAAAATAAATGTTCTAGCACATAACTCTATATCGCCCATCTACATGCCTTCTGCAAGATGTTAAATGCATCTGTGTTTAGGTTGAATTTAATGTTAGTTACCTTTTAACAGGTTTAAGAAATAGCTTTATTAACCACCAAAATCAAGAAAAAAAAGTTCTTCCATAGCAAATGGAGTCACTAAAAAATGTTTAGAATATAAGCTGTGAGAGAATACTATCAGTGTATTTTCCAAGAGATTTTAATATAGCAGAAATTCAAGTCTGATTTGTGCATCTTCCCAGGCTGAATCATGACTCTAAGTAAAGATATATGTTTTTGCTTTTAAATATATGGAGATTGATACATTAGAGACAGATGAAAATGAGATACATCATTAGACATCACTCCCCCAAAGTAGCTGAATACTACACTACCTGCACAGGGATTGAAAAAGCCATGCCGTGAGTCTGTTAGCATTCATGTCTTAATTTATTCTGTAATTGCATTCAGAATAGAAACATAAATACCTTAAGCACTTAACACAGTCTTTCAAACCACTGTTTAGCCAGACTGACTTTCATTTCCTAAATAAAGGCCCAACTTGATTGGGTTCAATAGAACTGTTGCTACTTTTCCAGCAGTGGACCTGTAAGCCGAATAACTCGCTCACGCTATCAAAACAGTTCTAGTTGTTTGGAGGAATACACTGTTTTTACATTCTGATCCACTAAAAACATAGCAAGATAATCAAATTTGAGATTAGGGCTTGTGCTGTTCCCACAGTGTCTGGCTGAGGTACTGCTCCACCTCTCACCAGTGTGGTGGAGCACCTCGGGCTGCATCAACAGTGCACTTAGCTCAACATCTGTTTACTGCACAAACAAAATAAGTGGCACAGCTACAAAGAAAGTTCAATGCTGGAAGCTTTAGATGACAAATAAAAGCTGAACATAATGATTGTCTTATCTTTAGCCATCTTTCCCATCCACACATACAGGACATAGTTAAAATGACAGACTTAAAATAAACAAATATATTGCTTAAACCCCTGAATAGTTTTTTGCTTTTCTTTTGTTTTTTAAATTACTAGCTATATAAAAATATTGTTGATGTGTCTATATACATGCTTTTTCCCTAGCAAAAACTGACATCTATCTGCCGTTTATTCTTGGTTACCTCATTCAGAACCTGATTTCAAGTGACACAGTCTTGCTGAAACACTGAGTTCTAGTACTGAAGGCAGCATGTGCCTCTTCCCGACAATGGAAACACTGGCAAATCTCACAAAGTTGCATAAATTCTGTTGCTGTACTGATGACAGCAAAGTATACAAAGTAATTTACTTTGCCTTACACTATCTACTAACAAGCACAGTATGTGCTCCTGCGTTTCATCCCCTCAAATCCCTTCCTATTTTTTACTGTCTTGCTCAATCCAGACTGTTCTCTGACTTAGAAGGAAAGCAATACCATGGGAGGGGAAATAAATTCTTCTGATCTGATTGATTCTTGATACTGGCTTTTCTGGCTCTGAATGTACTCTGGTTAAAGAACAGCTCTGCCTCAATACCTCACACCTTTCAATCCCTAGCTGTATGAAAAGAAAATAAGTCGTGACTTCAAATACAATACTCTGTGAAACCAGTCACCTTTCTTACAGTTCTGTGTAACTCTATAGCTCAACTGCTTTAAATGATCAGCAAAGAGGTAACAGCAATGCATCACTACTGAAGTCATCAGCACACTGTCCATCATTGCACTCTTTCAATGCATCACTACTGAAGTCATCAGCACACTGTCCATCATTGCACTCTTAAACTAGAAAATTTTTAGAATCAAGAGAATATCCAAAATAAATCCTTAAGGTTTGCTGGCACCTTCCATGTATTTTCCTCATCTGAAAATTGTAGAACTGTATTACGCTGACATAAAAAGATCTGGCTCTGGTCTCTGCCTCCTGTAGTCTCTGTTGTTACTCACTTGAATGTTCAGACTCATTGTCAGAAACAATAGACTACATCTATTGAAACACACAAAGCCAGTTTACTTGGTTTTTAAACAACAAATTATAATGCATCATAATGCAAAATAAAAGGCCCACTTGGCTTTCAGATATTTGTCCTCATTCACTACATCTTTCCATTCCTTGGCCTCATACTGAAAACAACTCTGCTGATAAAAAAGAAACATGCATGGAGATATGTATATTAAAAGACATCATCAAATATTAAAATATTCCAAGAATTTTCTTACAAGTCTTCTTTCTTTGTCTGCTCTGTGCTTCATCAGCCTATCTTCATCTGAAAGCTTAAAAGGCCATTTTACGTCATACAAATAAGGCTGGATAACTCTATAGAGATGCAAGAGTCCTTAAACAGGGTATCTGAATAGGGACCTTGTGATCTTTTCTACAGCATCTAGTGCTCTGCAAACATCATCCTCATGTCTACAAGGGTCTCATGCTCCTTTTGACTTGCTTCTCCAGCAGTGAAGTGCTTCTGTAGGTTTAAACTGAGCTCTTTATGAAGACACTGACATACATCTGTATCACAACCCCTCTATTAGTACCTGAAGCCTTAAAAAAATACAATGAATATGCAGATTAATGACTATCTATGTAGCCTATGTAATTGGGAAAAACAAATACAGTACACCGTACACACAGCTTCCTCTGTAATCATGTCAGCACTCATGCCACAGAGCAGTATTGCTAGGGCTTTCTTACTCAATTATCAGTACCACTAGAAAGCAGCACACTCTAGCATCCAGGGAAAGTGATTACTCAGTATGATTGGTGGTAAAAGAGCACCCTCTGAACTTCCAGGCTGTGAGGGAAACAAAGAAGACAGGAAAGACTAGGAAGACAGGAAGACAGGAAGACTAACCAAGGAGTTTAAAAGGAACAGAAGAACACACAAAACCCCACAGAGAAGTGAATTCTTTGTTAAGACAACAAAGGCTGTTTCATGTCATCATCTGTAAGCATTTTAAACAGTGCTGTATACCTTAACACATAAAGCAGATTTGAAAAACTCTTACTACTTGGTGTCTTTTTTCTTTTTTCTTTTTTTTGCAGTGGCTAATGCCCAAAGAGACAATATTACAGGGGAACATCTACCATGTGAATGCATTTTCCTTAGAGTCCACTACCAAAACTGTATTGTACTACTAATTGTACTAATTGTATTACTGGCCCCAAAACACTAGGCTACAAGGTATCTTCCCAAACTACAACACAGCTACACTTGCACTGGTAAAGTACAGGGAAAATTACAATCTCAACTGAGAAATGGATGCATACCAACACTGAATGCTCAGTGTCAGGTTTTAAACAGATCTAAGGACCTAGCAGCACAGACAGTAGTAGGCTTTCCAAAGTCCCCACGCCTATCAGCATCGCTTGGTGGTTAAATATCCTTAAAAACATGACCCTCCACCTCCCTGTGGCTCTGAGCTTACCTATAGCTTGCTTTTTTTACATTCAGTCAGCCATATTTTAAGATGCTTAGTTCACTTACTAGAAATTTCAACAGAAAACTCTACTGTACCATTCCATGACGTTGGTAGTCTGTGCTGCTCTGCTCCAAAGCCTATGCCTAAGCAACTTAATGATACTATCTGTAGTTTTAGTATCTGTAGGGTTTTCAGCTAAGGAAGACAAAACTTAAGCTAGAAAACACAATTCCACGCAAAACTTAGTAAAAACAACTATTTAGAAGTGCCAAGTACTATAGGGAAACCATTGCAGGTTTACTATTTTTTGCTATTTTAACAACTACATGTGTGATTAAAAGTCCACTAAAAACTAGGGAAAGACACCTCATGACTTACATTAGCTTTGGATCAGCTGTAAGGGCATTTCTTTATCTAAGCACTGAGACTGTTATATACAACAGTTAACAATCTGCAGTTACAACATTAAAGAAATGCCAATAATAAATACTTCATTTGCTAACATGAGCAAATAGCTTTCTTTTGAATAGTACTGTTTAACAGTATGGCTTCGGACCATCTCAATGATAAAGCAAAGCAAATTAACATAGAAATTAAAGATGCATTAAAGGTACAAACTACATAAATTAAAAACTTAATCTGTAAACATATATATATATATAAATTGCATCTCCTATGAGCTGCTGTCTGTACAGCAATGTGCACACACAAAATCCTGAGCACTCTACTCTCTGTACTGCTGTTGAGAGCCAAGTTTCTGATCAACTTTTCAAATTTACACTCACATTTTCTGTTTTCCACCTAAGGAAGTAAGGGATGTATAGGTTCAGAGTACTCACACAGCTGCAGTGTGCTAAGCAGGAAAAAAGATCTTGTGCTGTGAAATAGGAATGTATTCTAAGTATGACATCAAAGTTGTCTGGGTCCCTCTGCACACAGGTTCAGGAGTCATTCAGGAACAATGTTATTCACCTTTGCGTTCAGTAGTTAACCTATGTTAAACTAATCAATATAATTTGATTGCAAGAAATGCACAGGCTTCTAAGTCAGTTTTTGTTTATGATTTCAGTGCCTTTTTGAGGTCAGAGTAGAAATTGGCCAGGGTACTAGCCATGGCAGTGTCTACTGCAGACTGAGGTAGCATCCCTCGCAGTTCGGTCTGAATATAGCCCGTCAAAAGGCTGTGGCTAGGACAGTCCTTAAGAGGGACGCAGAACCAGCCACACGGGTGATTGAATCCACGGACAAAATTAGGTCTCACCTCTCCGTAGTTAAGGCTTATACCTGTCATGGAAAACAAACAAAAAAGAGAAAATTTGAATTCGAGACAGATACAGTGTATTTCACAGCAACTCCTTTTTCTACTTGGAGAATTTAGAAGTACTTTGCAGAGGAAGCAGTCCAGGATGTTTCTAGACTGTGTAGAAGACAGCTTCCTTACGCAACTGGTAGGAGAGCCTACCAGGGGTGGTGCCCTGCTGGATCTGGTCTTCGCTAACAGAGAAGGACTGGTGGGAGAAGTGAAGGTTGGGGACTGTCTTGGGCAGAGCGACCATGGAATTGTAGAATTCTCCATTCCTGGGGATGTCAAAAGAGTGGCCAGCAAAACTACCTTCTTGAACTTTCAGAGAGCGGACTTTGATCTGTTCAGGGCGCTTGTAGCGCGGGTCCCTTGGGAGTCACTTCTCAAGGGTAAAGGGGCACAGGAAGCCTGGATGCTTCTCAAAACAGAAATCTTAAAGGCGCAAGAACAGGCTGTCCCTGAATACCATAAGGCGAGCCGTGGGGGAAGATGACAGGTGTGGATGAGCTGGGAACTACTCAGAACTGAGTTAAGACTCAGGGAGAAAAAGAGGGTCTACATCCTCTGGCAGAAGGGACAGACTACTTGGGGAGATTACAAAGTATGCAGGAAGAAAGCTAGGAAGGCAAAAGCCCAACTTGAACTCAGGTTGGCCTCTGCAGTAAAAGAGAATAAAAAATCCTTTTATAAACATATCAATGGCAAAAGAAGAACCAAAGATAATTCTTATCCTATACTTGATGCAGCAGGGAATGTGGCCACTGAGGACAAGGAGAGGGCTGAGATCCTCAATGTCTTCTTTACATCTACCTTTAATAGCTAGATCAGTCATCCTCTGGGCTTTTTATGTCCTGATCTGGAAGTCTGGGACACTGCACAGAATATGCCTCCTGCAATTCAGGTGGAGACAGTAAGAGAGCTCCTCCTCTGTCTGGACTGTCACAAGTCCATGGGACCGGATGGGCTGCACCCTTGGGTGCTGAGGGAGCTGGTGGGGGTGATTGCCAAGCCCCTCTCAGCCATCTGTCAGCGCTCCTGGTTAACTGGAGAGGTCCCGGAGGATTGGAGGCTTGCTGTGACTCCCATCTTCAAGAAGGGCCATAAGGAGGATCAGGGGAACTGTAGGCCTGTTAGCCTGACCTCAGTACCAGGGAAAGTATGGAGCAAATCATCTTGGACGAGATTGCACAGCATGTGCGTGGTGTCCAGGGGATCAGGCCCCGCCAGCACAGGTTCATGAAAGGCAGGTCGTGCTTGACCAACCTCAACTCCTTCTATGACTGGGTGACCAGTCTGGTAGATAAGGGAAGGGCTGTTCACAGAATCACAGAATTGTAGGGGTTGGAAGGAACCTCCAGAGATCATCGAGTCCAACCCCCCTGCCAAAGCAGGTTCCTACACCTTGACGTAGTTCTACCTAGACTTCAGCAAAGCCTTTGACATGGTCTCTCACACACTTCTGGGTAAACTGGCTGCCCGTGGTCTGAACAGATATACACTTCTTTGGGTAAGGAACTGGCTAGAGGGCCATGCCTATTGGGTCGTGGTGAATGGAGTTAAGTCCAGCTGGCGACCCGTTTCAATTGGTGTCCCCCAGGGGTCGGTACTGGGGCCCATCTTGATTGATATCTTTATTGATGACCTAGATGAGGGGATTGAGTGCACCCTCAGTAAGTTTGCAGATGACACCAAGCTGGGAGGTGGTACTGATCTGCCTGAGGGTAGGGAGGCCCTTCGAAGGGATCTGGATAAGCTGGATCACTGGGCTGAAGGGGACGGGATGAGATTCAACAAGGCCAAGTGGCAGGTCCTGCACTTCGGCCACAACAACCTCATGCAGTGCTGTAGGCTTGGGGATGAGTGGCTGGATGACTGTGAAGAAGAGGGAGACCTGGGCGTATTGGTTGATGCTTGGCTGAACATGAGCCAACAGTGTGCCCAGGTGGCCAAGAGGGCCAACGGCATCCTGGCCTGCATCAGAAATAGTGTGGCCAGCAGGAGCAGGGAGGTGATCATCCCCTGTATTCCCTGCCACTACAAGAAAGACGTTGAGGCCCTGGAGCACGTCCAGAGAAGGGCAACGAAACTGGTGAGGGGTCTGGAGCACAAGTCTTATGAGGAGTGGCTGAGGGAGTGGGAATTATTTAGTCTGGAGAAGAGGAGGCTCACGGGAGACCTCATTGCACCTGAAGGGAGGTTGTGGTGAAGACAGATTTGGCTTCTTCTCCCAGGCAACACAGGGAAATGGCCGCAAGTTGGACCACAGGAGGTTTAGATTAGACATAAGGAAAAACTATTTCTCTCAGAGAGTGGTCAGGCACTGGAATGGCTGCCCAGGGAGTTGGTGGAGTCACCGTCCCTGGCAGTGTTCGAGAGGCATCTGGACGACATGCTGCGTGATGTGGTTTAGTGCTTGTGGTGGCAATGGTGATGAGGAGATGGTTGGACTAGATGATCTTATAGGTCGTTTCCAACCTTGTGATTCTATGATTCTATGACTCTACTGCCAGAGACACTTCTACATTTTTGGGTACTTTCATGCCTGAAAGCTGTCTGCTGTCCATCCAAACTCATTCACAGACAAGCAGAGCTTGACAAGCAGAAATCAACATTAAAAGACACTCTTTCCACTAACGAGCTTCTTACTCTACTCATTTTGAGTAGAGTTGAGACAGGCCACACAACTTGCCTGAACCATCTTACAGTCAACATAAATGACTCTTGGCACAGAGATGGGTAATGCAGTAACTTATATACTTTTTCAAGTATGTAGAACTTCTAAAATCTTCTGAAATACTTGTTGGAGATCATCTTATAGCATTTTTGAATGTTTACTGCAGAACCATTATTAATTCAAATTGTATCTTAAGCCAAACAGCCATTGTTAAAAATTAAGCAGTTGAGTGGTACCTTACCACATGATAGAAGCCCATCTTCATAGCTTGTGGTGTAAGAAAAATCAACAAACTCCCTTGGTGCTATGATGTTCCAGAGCTGTCCAGCAGTGGTGTAGCGCATCACACAGCAGTTCTTGTTGAGTGAAAGAGTGTTGAGTGAAAGAATGAGAGAAACAAAACAAAAGCATCTTAGTTTAATAAATGACACTGTATTCAAACTTGTCAGCAGCTAGCCTTTTCCACAGAGATGGCAGCTTCTATCAATTACATGCTCTCCAGACAACTTCAGTGAGGTATAAAGAAGATGCTGCTTTTAGTCTAAACACTGAAGTTCGCCGGGACTTGCCATCTGCAGCTGCAGAGACTGATAACATACGGTACCTTTAATCCTGACTGACTGTAGTTACAGAACTGTAGTCACACCTGGAAAGTAAAAGCCATGTATGTTTTATATGGCTTTCCCACTACCTAGGAAGTCCAAAAGGAGCATGAACAAATTGCGAGACCGCTCTCAGCAGACATAAAGCCTCATGCAAAGTTACCCACAGCATGTATATCCACTACCCATGCAGATAAATAAGCACGGAAGAAAAACATCAGTACTTATTGAAACAACTGCTCTTCTGAATGTTAGATTCACATGAGTCTACAGGCACTTCCCTTCAGAATCTAAACAACTCTTTACCTCTTCAAACATTTCCACGATGTCCATTGTAGTCATTAAGCTGTCCCAGTCAAGCCTGTAAGGTCCAGGACGAATATGATCCACTATTCTGTTAGTAACATCTTCCACCACTCCTTGAGCTTTGTACCTAGAGAAATGTAAGTTTATACTTAAAAGAGATTAATTTTTATCAAGTATTCCATTAATCTGCAACAGCATATTTACTAGAATACCTTGGTACCTAGAACTTTATAGTCAGTGGAAAAGTGCATTAGAAAGGTAGTACAGGAAAGATCTGAGAATGCATCTGGTTTTTTTTGGTTTTTTTGTTTTTTGTTTTTTGCAATAAATATTATTATGAGAGTAATACCCTTACGCTATAATCTATATCTCTTAAATTGCAAATCAGAAGAACTGTCATGTTTCCTGTAACATGTTTTTCTGCTGCTCTTGAAAGGAGAACAAGGGAGTCCGCCAGGGAAAAGTAAAACTAACAACAACAAAAATGAGAGCAGAATACAATGGGAAAAATAGTTTTCATAAAGTAGAAGTAACGGTAATAGAATTAAGATGAAGATAAACTACATTCTGCTTTGTAGCCTAACACAGTACCAAATAATTTGGTGTAAGACACTGCAGAATGTTTATTTGTTGTATTTTAAGTAGACAACAGATGTTTTGGTTTCCAGAGTTACTGGGTTTCAAGCTCCTGAGGGGATGGAATTGATCACAGTCATTATTTTCAAAACACCTCTTATCCATTGAGCAGCTCTTTTCAATTGTAGGTAACTAGTGTCACAACTCACTGATTTATTTACTTGCGCAGTTCACCCCTTTCCACTCACAGTTACCTGGATGAAGCCAACCTCAGCTGTTTTTTCTTCAGAGGACCATATTAAAAGGCCATTGCCTTCCAGTTTTGCATTTGGAAAAGTTCTTCAAAGTGTTCTTTCTTAATCAGGTTTACACATAACCCTGCACTCACTTGCATATAGCAGCCATTCCCCTGTTGGCAGTCGTTCAAGTTACACAACCTGGTGTTGACAGTGTGCTGGTGCTCTGTACAGGGTCAGTAGACACTGTGTACCTAGTACCATCAACCCTTAACAAATTTACCAGAACAGAGTACCTAGAGTGTATCAGTCCTTGACATTCTTTTCAAACATTATCTTTTCACAGCACTTCCCATTTCTTCAGATTGTTGTTTTCTACTAAATACTTCTACCTGCAAATAACTACAAAACCACTGATAAAGTCACAGGAAGGCTCTATGTCATACACCTCTCCCACAGCTACAAGCTTGATATTTTGTTCTATCAGTTTCATAGCCAGTAAGAGTGTACAAACACTGTCCGTGTTGTCACTCAACAGTGCTGCAAACCTACCAAACCTGTATGTGATTGCATGGTTTGCAGACTGTCTTTTTAAAATGCCTGGGTACTTCCCAATGTGCACATCAGCCAGTGGGAGCTTTGTGGTGTGCTCCATAGTTTTGATTATTCATTATTCTAGACAGCAAACAAGCATGAAATATCAAAATATAACACTAAAAAGAAACAGCATAGGTCTTTACAAGACAACAAGGCACAGTAGATAATTTACTTAGCTGCTCCTGCAGAAAATCTGTGTAATTTGTTCACAGCCATCATTTCTAAAATACTAAGTATATTTGGGGAATCTTAAAAATTCAACATCTTGGCAAGCGTACTTACAGGTATCCGCTGAATTCTTCTGATGGTTTACGCCACACCACTGCATCTTTCTGGAAGAAAATTAAAGCTATTATGTTAATAGTAATTTACAAACCCTTCCAAGATGTACACAAAAAAATGCCTCAATTTATCCAGGCCAACTGTATTCTGGGCTGCTTCAAAAAGGGGGTGGCCAGCAGCACCAGGAGGGTGATTGTCCTCCTCTGATCTGCCCTCGTGAGGCCTCATGTCAAGGACAGCACCCAGCTCTTGGCCCAAAACGGATCCAGAGGAGAGCCTTGAAGACTATCGGAGAGCTTGAGGATCTCTTCTATGAGGACAGGATGATGGAGGTGGGCTTGTTCAGCCTGGAGGAAGGAGGCTCTGGGGAGACTTCATTGCAGCCTTCCATACTTACAGGAGACTGAGAGGAAGGCTGGGGAGTGACTCTGTCAGAGACCATATTAATAGGACAAGAGATTAAGGCTTTAAACTAAAAGCTAGGAGATTCAGATTAAATACCAGGAGGAAATTCTTTTTTCAGAGGGTGGTGAGGTGATAGCATGGGCTACCCAGAGAAGTTGTGGGTGCTCTATCCCTAGAGGTGTTCAGGCCTGGCTGGATGGGGCTCTGGGCAGTAGGGAACTAGGTGATTTTTAAGGTCCCTTCCAACCCAAACCATTCGGTGATTGTGAGAGGCTTAGGTGCTCTGTTCCTCCTTTTGAAGACACTGAATTTGTTAATTTAGTAAATAATCAAGTCATATTTGGAACACTTCACCTGTTACCAATGCTAACAAGGGAAAACAAAATATAAGAACAACCAAAAGTTTTGTTATAAAAGGGAAAAGAGAAACGTTGATGACATTAAGCTTATCAAACAGCTAAACCGAATGCCAGAGCACAACTGTTACACATCTACATGACCTACACCTGCTAGCAGACACGGGAGGGGCCGCTGCACCACTCACAGTTTTCCTGGCGAACCGCCACTCGCTGTCGGCGATGCTGTGGTAGCGGAGCAGAGTGTTCTTCAGCCTGGTAGCCAGGGGCGCGGGGTCCGGCAGCAGGTCCATCGGCGCTCTTCCTGTGCAAACACACGGCCCCACACATTGCCACCGGGCACCCCACCGCCCAGACCCGCAGGCTCTGTGCCTGCCTTCTACCTGCCCCCACCAGCCATCCCCCGCACTCAGCGCAGTGCCAGCCCCGACCCTGCCGCCCTGTCCCGCCGCCAGTCCTGCTCCGCTCACCCGCGGATACCGCCACGGTCCGCACCTCGCTCCCTCCCAGCTCCGGCGGGCGGCCCGGCGGCTCCGCTCCGCTGCCCAATCGGCCGATGCCGGCAGCCAATGAGAACGCAGCAGGTTTCCTGCGCGGCCAATGGCGACGCTGCCCGCCTCGGCAGAGAATGCGGTTCGGGGTGGGGAAGGGAAGAGAACGAGGGAGCGTGACCGGCTCAGTCCCTGCCCACCGTGCCTATCAGCTCGTATCGCGCGACGTGCCGCCGGGGCGCCATCACCAGCTGGAGGCTGCAGGGCGGCTCCCCATAGGCTGCCGCGGGGCAGGCACGTGCTTTGATTGGGCGGAGGAGAGACGTATTCCGTCCGGCTCCTGCCAGTCAGCGCGCTGTGAGGGTGGTGCCTTGGGGCTGCCGGCTGCGCGCGGGATTGTAGGGAGGGCTCCGCTTCCTTGCGGGCTGCTGCTTGGTTTGAATTGCCGGTGTGAGCGTGCCCGCCTGGCTTAGTCAACTTTTGGGTGAAGGAATGGCATGTTTTTATTGGAAAACGGCGATTTTTGAATAAAACCAAATTAGTGGAAGTGTGTCACCTTGTCGTGGATTAGTCATTCCGTGTGGGGGCTCGGCACAGCTGAGTGGTTTGGTTGGACTGGGTCCATTGGCACTGCTAGATCACAGAATCACACATCACATGTGGGAAGGGACCACAATGATCATCAAATCCTGCCCGTGAGTCCGTGCGGCACCATGCAACATTCAGACACTATGTCTGACTGTTTAGTCCGAACAAACTTAGAACTCCAGCACAGGGGCCTTGCCCGCCTCCCTGTGCAGCCCATCCCATGCCCCCCGCGCTGTGGTGCAGAACCCATTCCCTAGCACCCCCAGCTGCCCCTCCCTTGGCTTCATGCCGTTCCCTCGGGCTCTGTCGCTGTCACACAGAGCGGAGCTCAGCGCTGCCCCTCTGCTCCCTGTGCGGAGCTGCAGCCGCCGTCAGGCCTCCCCTCAGCTCCTCTGCTCTGGGCTGAACGCACCCAGGGACCTTAGCCACTCCTTATGCATCTTCCCGTCCAGACCCTTCACCACAGAACATCAGCCAATGAAACCTTAACACCTTAAAGTTTGTTTCTTGCTGAAAACATGCACAGATTCTATTCAAGCACTAAATGTCACACAGACTACTAAATCCAATTCACCTGCAGTCTCTATTAGGAGGCTCTTTTTAATCCGGAGCGGAGAAAAAGTTTTTTTCCACAGAAATGTTCAGAAGCAGGAAGAAAACAAAACTTAATTTTGCTGTTAGACAAGCACATCAACCACTGGAGCTGTTCCTCATAGCCAGACAGCTCATAATTCCTGCAATGCTGTAAATTAGCCTCAACAAAATACTTTTGTGAAAACCTCTAATATTCTTCACGTCTGACCTTGAGACAGTTATTTGAATTCTTCTTTGTGTGTATTCAGGTAAATGTACATTGTGCTGCTACTCTGCTATTAGACAGTGATGGAAAGGAAATGTTCTTTCTTTTTTTTTTTTTTTTTTTTTTTTTTTGATGCAGGCACACATGTAATGAAAGCACAATAAAATTTCATTTTTATTTGCTTAAAATCTGTATTAAATTATCTGTCTCGATCATTCCTTGTAAATGCAAAACCCGAAAGGCTTAGAGTGGCTTCTTACCATTCATACGTATACAGATGCAACTTTCCAGGTAGGCAAAAATAGAGCTAAATGATTTCCATATTTTACTGATGTAGTCCTGATAGCATTTGGCTCTATTCTAATGAGGTAGAGAGTCTGCAATTCATCTCATTTCTCACATACTCAAAGCAGATATATTTATATAAGAAATACGACTGGTTAAGAATGTCACTGAGTCAAGCTAGATGTGAGTCAAAGGGGAGTTTGTGGAAATCAGAATGGCTAATCGTTTATATGGTTGTTAGATAGGTTGCATTTCTGTTAGGTCAAATTGTAAGAAAAAGTCATTGGATTTCAAGTCCGTGCAGTTATAAACTGAAATGCCATGAGTTTGAGAAGTGACAGTGGGTGCTGGTCAGGATCATTATTTGTCTAGGCTGGATAATATTTAAAAAACAAAACAACAACCCAATCTCTTCACAAAACAGAAATTCTAGCTTTAAAAAAAAAAAAAAAAAAGTGTTTGTGGCTAAACCACAAGATGGCAGAAAAGCAAAATAAATATTTTTTTGCTGAGGCAGCTGCACTTGGAAACTGTCTGAAAACAGATACGATGGAGAAATTGACTGATTTTTCTTATGAAAATGTAGCTAAAGGCTTAATAAATTATGAGATATGTTAGGCATTACTTTAATTAGCATGGTCTAACTGTGACTTTTGCTAAACCATAGTATTGTACCTTTCCTTTACCTGCTGTTTGTTCTTTTGCTAGAGACAGCAAGTAAACAAGCTAGGCCTGATGGTTTCCTTTTTGGATTCCACTGGAATATGGTGTGCATGAAAGTGAGATGCAGAATAAAGTCTTTGTACCTGGAAGAAGAACCATGATTTCTCCTGAATGACAATTAATACTCAGTTCATATATTTTATTAGTGTGTACTATCTGTGCTTTTAGAAAAAAATCAACATTCACATTATTCACAAAGTTGACTGCAAAAGCAGTTAGATTTTGCAAAACTAGTCAAATGCTGATGAGGTTCAGAAGGCATCTCACTTTGAAAAATAAAATATAGAAGTTGGATGGGGCCCTGAGAAACTTGATCTAGTGCCTGGGATTTACTTGTTGGCAATCCTTCCCACATCGGAGTTTGGTCATAGCTGATCTTGAAGATCTTTCCAACCCAAGTCATTCTGTGATTCTATGGTGTTTTAAAATAATCTTTTTTCTTTATCTGCTTTATCATTTGATATTAACACACTGCTATAGTCTTTTCCACAAGTGGATTTCAAATGAATCGGTTATGTTCCTTTCTAGTTCTTTCTGTGCAGTGTAAACAGATTGGTATTTATCCCATCTTCATTTTCAAAACCTCATCAGAATGATGTTACTAGCAATGATATACAGTAACAGTGTATAGCTTTAGCATCAGTGATAGTTTTATAGAATCTTGAATCATTTAAACTGAAAAAAGACTGTCAAGATCACCGTGTCCCTTAGTACTATGTCCACATATCTCTTGATTATCTCCAGAGATGAGGACTCCACCACATCCCTTGGCAGCCTCTTCCAATATATGACCACCCTTTTAGTGAAGAAGTTCTTCCTAATATCCAATCTAAGCTCTCCCTGTACTCTTTGAGGTTGTTTTTTGTCATTTGTCACCTGAGAAAAGAGACGGATACCCTGCTCACAGCAATCTCCTGTGGGTGGTTGTAGAGAGTGATGAGATCTCCCCCTGCATCCTCTAAACATCCCCATTTCTTCACCCAATTCTCTTGTTTTCCAGTCCCTCCACTAGTTTTGTTGCTTTTCTCTGCACACGCTCGAATAACTCAATATCCTTGTACAAGGGGGCCCGAAACTGAATACAGTGCTTGAAGAGTGGTCTTACCAATTCTGTGCACAGACAAACAGTCATTTCTCTAGTCCTGCTGACTGCAGCATTTCTGATGCAAGCCAGAATGCCCTTAGCCTTCTTAGCCACCTTGGGCACACTGCTGGCTCTCATTCACATACGTAGCTCATGGATAGATGGACTCAATCGCTTGGATATGCCCTATTCCACAAATCTTCCATAATACTACATAGTGCTGACTGTAATCCAGAGAACAGAACATGGCACAGGAGTTACTAATGTTCAGGAATTCTTTAACATTCTTCCAAGTGCAGCAATGTGAGTAAAAGACCCAAATCCATGTTTTTAATCTCTCTTGTGTTTGATACATTCACCACTCCATCTCACACCTCATTTGTTGTAATGGTGGCTCTTCTAATCTGTAAATACTCTGAAGCGTCAGCGAGATTTCTGAATCTGATCTTTCACCTATAAAGTCTGTATAAGAAGTATTTATTATTTCCAAAACATGTGGAACATATTTTGGCCAGGCATTAGTGACAATGTCAAGTGTTATCTTTAGTTTTGTCTCATATTTTATTGCCTCTCCTTTCTGTTCCTAATCTTTTCATTTGTTGCTGCCATCTGTTTGCCTTCTATCAGAAACACATCTTATAACTAGGGAAGATGACTTTGATGATATGGCAGTGGCAAAGAGATTTCTGTATGGAGCCTTTCAAGAAGTGCACTGTTCTGCAGGTGTAACAGCTTTGTGTTGGCCATGAATCAAAAGCACAGATAGTATATTGAAGAACTTTTTTGCACACAGGAAATTAATAGTAGTTTGTGGGTTTTCAGACCAGTTAAGTCATCATGGCCAATCTCTGCATACTTAGTTCCCCTGTCAATAAAAAAAAAAAAAAAAAGCATAACTGGAAAAAAAATCATCACATTTTATTGGCTCGTGTTTTGGGCTACAGCACACTGGTTTGTGATTTTTTGTTATTGAAATGTTGCTTCACAGTAGGTGTAAAAGCTTTAAAGTAAACAGTAAAGTTAAAAGCTTTATCTAAAGCAGCTGATACTCTTAATGCAGACTCTTTATTTAAAGCAGTCACTTCACACTTCACACTGCCTTTTCTGTGAATTGTCCATGATTGTTGGGAAGAGAGTGCCATCAGCAAGGCATAGTGGCTACAGGGGTGCCTGTTTCTAATGTGTTATCTTAGTCATGTTGAGGAATTCCTAATTTGGTGTAGATAGAAGCTTGTTAGTGAGTAACAGAAGTAAATTCTGTGTGTGAATCTGAAAATCCTTCAGCACTAATGCAAGTTTTCCTTGAAAAGAGAGGCATGTTAGTCAGATTGCAGTCAGGAAATACGATTCAGGTTCAGAAGAACGAAACTCATATTTCAGAGAAATATGAAAACAAAAATAGAAAGTTGAGATGACATTTTTTGAAGGGCAGATGTTCAACCAAAGCAAAGATTCCGCACCGAAATAATAAGATGATTTGATATTAGATTTTGCCTAGGAGAATTTATAGCAACAGTTAATCTTGCTTGTGTATAAGGCTAATTCTTCTAGAAATGTGT